ACTTCTCCTTGAAGTAGTCATGCTTACTTCACATTCTAACGAAATGGCTCAACTCAGGCATACAATAAAATTACTAATTTCCGGATAATTCAGGTATTCATAAGGAAATTTGAGTAAACCAATGAAATGCAGAATATAAAGTTACAAACTGGTGAGGATAATAATAGCCTCATCATCCCAACATTTTATTCTGTGATCAAAGCAATTCTATTATTTCTTCATAAAAGTTTTTGCTTTTAAAGATTAATTTTGTCCAATTCACTTCACAGATCCTTTACGAAAAGCGTTGAAAACTTTTTATTGTGATGCCTTACCTTAAAAAGTATGTTTCAATGCCGTAGCTACACAGTAAAGCATTTAGTACAAAAGATTGTGTTGCTCGTTTAGGGAATATGGAGTTAAGGCAACAACAGGGAAATCATAGAGGGATGATTTCTTTGCTGCCTAGGTATATGGCAACAGATCGTTTTCACTACTTTGCGCAAAAGCGTGAATAGCTAGCGGAATGCATTTTTTACATTGAGGTCGCAAATCGAACCTTGCTTATTAGTCATGGGTATGCAATACTCATATAAATCAAGGATAGGGATGTTTAAGAAGAATTTTTGTAATTTTAAAACATAACTGGAAATGAATTGATATGTTTATAACTCAACAATTTAAAGAGAAGGTCAACATTTGAGCTGAGCTACACATGTATGAAATTCAGAAGTAGCGATAGATGGCTTTGCCAACCACCTTGGTTGGATTTAATGCAGGCCACAATATACTTCAATCAGTCCGTTTATTTGGAGTTGTGGACTAAGAAAAATGAGATGGGATTGAACAGTGAATTAGTTTTTTGTAATAGGTCTTTGCATAAAAAGAGGCAAACTATCCGATAAACATGGTAAAACTATTCCAGAATTAAACCCCATCTGCTCACTGTACGAAATACAAGTTCGAACAAATGTCAGAGAGAGTTGAAGGTGTTGGATTACCGTAAGAATATAATGATCAGGGGGACAACTGAGGCTGTCAGTCGCATGTAGAACATGTGTCGACTCGAACGAGGTGAATGTTACAACATTCACTAATCAGCTTAGAGAGCTGAAGCTCTCGATCATATTACCACATAACCATCATGACAGATGACAACTAGCTGCAAGTGCCACTCAATTGTCATGTCAGACATGAGAACAGGACGAATCTTGCTGGTTAGTGTTGACAATTGAGAAACAAGGGATGAATGTCACCTTTACTGTGGTTACGTGATCTGATTAGAGGATTCTTATCAGTAATTAGATTGAGCTCAGCCCTCTGACAATCGTATCGCACATAAGGCGAAGGTACTTTTAATCCAATATTGTTCGACAAAAAAGTGTTGAATGTTTTGTAAAGAAGGACATGTACATATGTTTAGAAGAAAAATGTGAAAGGTACGCACTAACAGCTCCAAACTTTTGCAGCTAGCAATCTCCTACTCTAAGTTAAAAGCAGAACTTTTCAAGCAAAATTGCAACTAACTTATAGTTTAAGCTGCGCGTTCTAGGATCATATTTACTGACTTCTTCCATCATTCAGATGTAAAAATCTTGGAGCATTCATCTTCTGCATATTCTCTGAAAGCCAAAATGATTGCAGCGCATATGCTATATTCAAGTCCTATTCTTGCACTTTGGGATAATAGGGAGGATCTAAGGGTCTTATGTGGATTGTTGTGATATGTGGAGCCCATCACATTTCTGTAGTTGCTAGCAACATATCGGAGTTTTTCCTG